ACCACAATTTCCTTTGAAACTTTGAATATCTAAATTGTTCCATTTTTTATAGGTTTCCAAGATCCAGCCCTGAATTTACTTAACTTTTTGATGAACCTAGGGCACAACTTTCTTCTGAAATACTTTCTTATAAAAAAACGTGTACGTCAGATGCCATATGATGTTGTCACTGCGCGTAGAAGCGCCAAGTTCTCCTTCTGCGGTTAGTTTCACGATCGCGTCGAAGAGTTGATGACAATTGCTTATCTCTGGCATGTGAGGTATGATTTCCGAAAATGTTTGCCATTGCATACAGAAACCACTTTTCTAGTGATACCGTCAAGAATAGATGATAACATTGCTTTATTGTTCAACGCTCTATGGACTCTTTGGGGTTACCTTGGTATGTGTGATGTTAAAAGGATGGGTCTTATTGAGGCATGAAGTGAGGCGATTGCTGTTAATTTTTGCTATGGTATTGGTGTTATGTTTTCTTGTTTCGTGGTATGAAGTGTTGCGCCGAAGTACACTGTTAGTTGACGAAGTACATTCTTGTTCTTTAGATCGCAGTGTATTCTATTACTCTCCCGTATTGTTTTCCATAACCGCCCATGTAATTCCATTCTAGCCTACATCTCTTTGGGACTCATCGACTTTTTAGCCTATGTTAACACCGTCGTGAACTCTTAACATCGTTTAAAGCAAAATGTAAAGAATACACGAACTACAAACTAATATCATTTTAACCCTTGAGGCATGCCGGCTGTTGAACACGTCGCATAATCTAAGTTCAGATTTCACAAGCCTCAATGAAAAATATACAGTTATTTAAGATTAAGATATCTTATTGCCCCAAAAATTTGTTTATGAATGGTTACCGTTACTGGAAATTTCGGATAAAAGCAGATTACATGTGGCTTATCTTCCTTGACACGATTAATTACACCACGCAATTGAGGATTTGTTTGAATGGAAAGCCTAGTGATTTAAATGCACTGCTTAATATCGAGTACAAGTATCGGTAAATGAATTTTATTACTTGAGTTCTTTGCTAACTTGAATGACGACCAAGGTGGTCATCAACTAAGTAATACAGCAGTAAAATTTAAGATAATGAAAATTAACTGTGAAATTTAGAATATGTTGGAAATATTTTAATTCACCTTATAGGCTGCCAGAGGATCATCCTCCTATCAGCAACATGATTGTGGGCTATCATGATCTATCGTGTTATTCATGATTGTTATCATAATCATCTCCACGAGCATGTTCAATCATCTCCACGTTCATTTTCAATCATCAACATGATCAACATCAATCACCATAATCAAACTGAATCGTCTTCGGTCATTTTTATAATGATCGTTATCAATCACCATGATCAATCACAATAATCAATGGCAATCACCACCAAACATATATCCTTGATCATCATTCATGATCACTTTTCTCCATCTTTGACCTTCATCCAACCATTGCTATAATACATTGCCTTGGTTCTAATGTTTACTCAAGCCATAAGGTACCAAACTGCGCCATGTTTTCTCGAAAAAGCTCATTCACATCATGTTCTGCGCTATTATGTTTTGTCCTTAAATTTCAGAAATGGTTTTTCTCCTACTGCGCGTCCACCGCATTGCTACAGTGCTGTTCCTTCCATCTTTTACTCCTTTGGCGTGCACACTTGTGGCCCCCTCCTGATACTCATAAACCGGGCTTTTTTACGAAGGCATAAAATAAATGCAAAACGGCCTTAAAAAAATAAATCTTTATTAGCTGGAGGAAGAATTTTTCAAATGTATTGGAATTAGTTATCGAGGAGTATCGCACGACACAGCTTATCTATAAACGACATTTTGGATAACAGTTAAACGCGATAGGGAGCTGATTCACGTGTTTCGATTTTCACACAACATCGATACTACGATTATTGTTTTTGTTGACTTTTCATTGCAAAATTTCAATAGTCACGGCATATACCATCTCTCTATGACATATCTACCTATTTTGAAAGAATGGAGACTGCAACTCCAGTAGAAAGTTTCTATGATTTAATTTATGTTTATTTGAAAACACAACATGCTTATTCGCAACATCAGATGCGAAAAGGACTAACGTGGCCGCCATTTCACTGCTATGAAAACATTTTACACAGAAATTGTGTTCTAGCCAAATGCGCAATGGAAAACAAAGGCTGTTTTCAGAAACACTGCCGAGCCTTTAAAGCTGGGCTTTTGCTCAAATTACTTTATGTAACTAGATAATTAATTACTGGAAAGTAGGCTTTAGTTTGTAAATTAAGCGGATTTAGCTGATTTTCACAAATATTTTACTTGCTTGGTTTAGCAGTGTTTTTGTCATTCCGGGTCACATTGCAATCATTTGTCATGATTCGATTCAATACAGCGATTTTGGAGCTCATCTGGCTACAGATTTTCACCTGATACCCCTAAAAATGCATTATACTTGCGTAGTGCTGAGATAAACTCAAAATCACGACTAGAATATGCAGACAGAGAAAGATATATCCAATGACAACCGGATGACATCGATTACGAATTCTATCTGGACCCGAGTACTGTTGATCCGTTATCCCTTCAATGTAATCTGGACAATTCACTTATTTGAAATAACTCAAGAATGGGAAATGACCCAGCATCTTAGACCGCATCTCCGCAACCATTTTCTACTTTGCCCCTGCACTCTCTTCGTTGATAAACAACATCTTTCCTGGACTAAAAGTTTTCAAGTTCAAAGGGGCTAAGAGAGAGGCTTGAAGCAAATCCACGTCTTACCAGAGAAAAGACCCAAATTGAATGTTACTCCATTTCATAAAGCTTGTCATTGGTTCTTTTGAACCAAAATCTATATATCTCCGCGTTTATAATACTGCAGAGGCAGTTTTAGTTCTCCAAATAGAATGAGAGCTGGTTCGTGCCTTCCGAAATTGAAAAGATAGCTTTTTAAAAATTCTTTTTTCTGCTGGCTTCCATCAATACTGAATGCTCCAATTGCAACAAGATTTTTTCCATTGATGACAATCATTCACTCCATAATTATCCTATATATTCCTCGTTCTCTTCTCACCAATTCCTAAAGACACAACTCAACTAAAGACACCCAACGAACTTGATTTTCTCGCCTTTTTGCCTCTAGGCAAAATAAATCACTGTTGTTTGTTGCCCGCAAATTTTGGCAGCTTTCTTTCTCCAAATTTGTAACTTATTTGCGAATGAAAATATCTCAAAGCAAATACCCTAATCCCATAAATAGGTCTTTTCTGGTTAACCAGGTATGTGTGTTGACGAAGTGTCTTTCTGTCCTAATGTAATAGTAGTGATTATCAAAACCATGGATCCAATTAAGAGAATTTCAAATTAACCAAGACTCCTGAGAGCATTTAATTAATGCTTCTCGATTGGGGGGGGGGGGTTGGATTGCATTCGAACCCATAATTCTTGAAGTTCTTTTATCGCCATTTCGCCACTCTGTAGGTTTAAGTTCTGAATAAACAAAGAGTTCGGGAAATCGATCTCTTTACATTAATCCATGGGTCTGTAGATCATACAACTTTCTCGTATAAGAGACGCAAAAGGCTTGTCAACGGTCTATTTGCCTTGATAAGATCAGATAATATTTCTCGTGTGGCATATTCATAACAGCAAAGGTTTTCACGTACTGCCCAGAACCGCCTTTGACTTTAGTATTCTTATGCAGCTTTAACTATCCTCAAAGTTTAGTAGGCAACCAATGATCATTTTTAATCGGCAACCAATAAACAAGTATTTGGTACACACCCAGACCTAAACGAGAGCTTGTTATAATGAGAATATATGAGAGCTAGATTATAGATGATATGTGAAAGATTCATGATAACGTGAATTCAGCAAAACCAAAGCCTATATATGCGAGCTATCTTTTATGGTGGGTAAAACTTTCTTGATCAAGCATACTGCATAAAGGCATGAATTAACTCCAAATACTAACGAAATTTTCAGATTTCCGAATTTAGGATCGACACTTCATCATCCTGCCTTCGTATATCTAGCCTGGGGAAATGTTACCCGACAAATTTATGCACTAGGAAACATTTGCTGGAATTGCTAATGAAATCAATGACCTTATTAAGGAAAGCTTTCCTTTCTGTACACTTATCAAATAAACTTTTAAGTCATTTTAGTCCTGATAAACATTTTCTTAATTTGTGGGTGGCCAAAGATACAGTAGCTGTTGAGCGGCAAGAGAAAAACAAGTTTTCCATAACAGATGGTATAGTCGTTATATTCATTGTCAGATCTAGGATTGAGTCTTTAGGTTTTGTTCATGAATAAACAATTAGCCATAAAACAAGCGGTATTTCAACCTACACATTAAATTCGACATCATGCCGCACACCCTGCCAATTCACGAAATTCTTCGTTGATAAGACAAATGATTTTTAAACCACCAATTGTATTAGCAGAGCAAAGAAACATGCATTAGATACAAGCAAAGCGACATGTTGATTGTACCAACATGGAGCGTGACAAGTGTTTTCCTAGCAGAGGTATATTTCTTTACAATTATGCGGGTGATATTGGAAAGTCTGACCGATACGGACGAATTTGCTCCAAAATTCTTCACTGCAAAAATTTGGAACTCATCATAACAAAATTATTCTTTTTGGGAACGAGCGCCTTGTCCGATTTCATGAAATCACGCGCATTATAAGCACGGAAACATTTTTGGCAATTTCAAGAGCAGCTCATTCAATAAGTCAAGTTTTGTTGGGAAGGAAGTCCTGAAAAAAGAGAAAAATCTTAATGATTGGGCTCCATTTTTATTATTGTTTTAGGCCAAGTTTTTATGCGAGCTATTCTGATGAAATAAAACTTGTCTTTTAATCTAACTAGTGCTCTCCCATTACCCAGTCTTTCCTCCCTAGCAACCCTCCAATGCCTAAAAGAAGTGCATCAATCATACCAATACCTATAATATTAAACATGCTTGTTTTTATTTAATTTCTTTCCCTTTTTCCATAGGTACAGTGTCAGCTGTATAGACACAACAGATACCGTAGTTTGAATTATCGTCAGTATGTGCCTATAAACGGAGGCTATCAGTTGCCTCGTTATCGACCGAATTATCTAGCAGCACAAGCCGGACAACCCAACGCACCGTTTGGTACTCGCCGTCCATTGCAGGGACGCTTCAATAATCTGAACGGAGGGAACCCATATCGGCCAGTTGGCTATGGAAATTACTTGAGACAGCTAAACCAAGGCTATCTGCCGCAAGGCCAAAAAAATACCGCCTTCCAGTTCTCCCCGTACAAGACAGGGTTTCCATTGGGTGCCCAGATACCCGGCTATTCCCCCAACCATTCACCTTTGCCGTTGTCAGCGCCAAGCTTGTATGGTTACGGAGGCTACCAGGTCGACCGTTGGGGACAGTGGAGCAGTTGGTCCCAGTGCTCTCGTAGCTGCAACGGTGGAGTCCAAGAAAGGACAAGAAACTGCTTGACGTATGTCTATACGAAATTTATACCCTTTTGTCTCTAAGTCGTCATTACCAGTTTTCTGAGCTAAAAAACATCAACAGTTGTGTGCGTGGCCTAAATATGGGACCACACCTGAGGAATCATGCCTTTTATTAAGATATATTTGTCAGTAGGGCTGAAAAGGACATTACCTCTCGACCTTCAGTTGAGTGTGTTAAAAGTTCGTTTTTATTTTATAGGCTGCCAAATTTTCATTTTCGTATAAAATCATTTTCATATTTTTCTTTAAAGCTCAATGCAAAACCATTTAGGTCCAAGCATTGAAAGCTATATTTCAGCAATTTTTTGGGAAATTCCCAACTTCTCTTTAAACCACCCATTTTCATTCTTATTCATTTGCCAACAGCCAAAATGACCTAAAGTAAACCAACACTTCTTTTAGTGACTTCTGCGGGCATCTTTGACCATCGCTCTAGTGCTTTCTTCGTGTATGTTTTCCCCTTCTTTTGAGCTTTTCACAATCATTCAATCTCCGTTTCTTTAGCTCTCATTAAAATTCCAGCGAATCTTTACTCCTACCAGCACCTTTTATGAATTATTAACTTCACGTAGAGAGCACCCTTGGGGTCGATGATCAATTAATTGGTCTCAATGAAACTTCCTTCACCTACAAAAACGATTGATTCTTTTTCTTAGTGCCAGTGCAAATCTCCTTTCTTCATTTTAATAATCTTACCATATTTGCGATTGGATTATGATCCTATTTAAGGCCCTTATTTGTGGTTTTTGAGTCGAATCAGAGCTGTTTCCTTCTCAAAAACATTAACCAACCAAAGATGCAAGTCGCCATGAACTCTATCGCAATTTTGTCGTATGAAGGGCTTTCACGTCATTTGTGCCTCTAACTAACATTCCCTGACATGTCATATTGGTGATAAAACGTTAAACCTATGACTACGAAAAACCTTGCTAAATTTATTACTACGAAAAACCTTGCTTCGCAATAACAGTGGTCTTCTAAGCCTTTTGTTGCCGCATAACATTGTGAACTCCATGCGGATTAAATTTATTGTGTTATGGTTTTGCACAAAGAGCGACTGTGGCTGCCTTATTTTTCACTTTAACTTGAAATTCATAGATGCACAGTGTTCGAGTCACCTCGTCTAACTTGCTTTTAAAAACCTCATACAAATATTTGGCTGCCCATTCCCCTTTACCTAATCAAGCATTAAACCTCTAAAGATAGCAACATAGGGTGTGTTAGCAATTTCCTATGTTTTCCAGTGATATGATTTAATGTGTTTAAACTCAACACACCCAAATTAGAATCAAAGAAAGATTGAACTCTCAGCCATCTATACATTTTTGACAAAACACCCTTTCAAAATGTGTATTTTGTTTTGCTTAGCGTTTATCTTTGACATCGATATAGAAGTAGTCAAGATTTTGGCTCACTAGAGTCAGCGCTGAGTCAGAATCAGCTAACAGAGTTGTTCGATGCATTATTTCTACGGGAATGTTTACAGTGAAACGTCCGTGGACGTCTACAACGGACACATGCTTTCAGTGGACATCTCCTTACAACAGACAACTTCCTACAACGGACAACTCCCCACCACGGACAACTCCCCACAACGGACAACTCTCTACAACCGACAACTCCCTACAACCGACAACTCTCTACAACCGACAACCCCCTACAACCGACAACCCCCTACAACGGTCACGTTGCTTTTAGGGACAACTCCCTACAACGGACACCTTGCTTTAAGGGGCACCTCTCTACAACGGACACCTCCCTACAACGGACACCTCCCTACAACCGACAACTCTCTACAACCGACAACCCCCTACAACCGACAACCCCCTACAACGGTCACGTTGCTTTTAGGGACAACTCCCTACAACGGACACCTTGCTTTAAGGGGCACCTCTCTACAACGGACACCTCCCTACAACGGACACCTCCCTACAACCGACAACTCTCTACAACCGACAACCCCCTACAACCGACAACCCCCTACAACGGTCACGTTGCTTTTAGGGACAACTCCCTACAACGGACACCTTGCTTTAAGGGGCACCTCTCTACAACGGACACCTCCCTACAACGGACACCTCCCTACAACCGACAACTCTCTACAACCGACAACCCCCTACAACCGACAACCCCCTACAACGGTCACGTTGCTTTTAGGGACAACTCCCTACAACGGACACCTTGCTTTAAGGGGCACCTCTCTACAACGGACACCTCCCTACAACGGACACCTCCCTACAACCGACAACTCTCTACAACCGACAACCCCCTACAACCGACAACCCCCTACAACGGTCACGTTGCTTTTAGGGACAACTCCCTACAACGGACACCTTGCTTTAAGGGGCACCTCTCTACAACGGACACCTCCCTACAACGGACACCTCCCTACAACCGACAACTCTCTACAACCGACAACCCCCTACAACCGACAACCCCCTACAACGGTCACGTTGCTTTTAGGGACAACTCCCTACAACGGACACCTTGCTTCAAGGGGCACCTCTCTACAACGGACACCTCCCTACAACGGACAACTCCCTACAACGGACACCTCCCTACAACGGAGAATACCCTACAACGGACAACTCGCTTCAAGGGACACCTCCGTACAACAGACACCTCGCCTTAAGAGACATTTTCCTACAACGGACATATGTTCGTTGAATAGGCGGGGTAAAACAGCATCAAAAGAATTTTTAAGTTCTAAGCAAAACCTTCCGAGACATCATTGTTAGGAGTCACAGGTCAAAAAGAGAACTTCCTGTCATTGCCAAACCGCTCAATTCCTTGATGATTTCCTCCGTATTCACTTCAACTCCCAAAATATATGGCATTTCCTTTATTGGTCATCGAAACCTTCAGACTGCTTTTTGACGTTTTATACTCTGAAGAGTGTCAGACGAAAAGTTTCAGTATGACTCAAAATACTTTCTCTTTTCAAAGCAATTTTGAAATTTTGTACCACCAAAAGGTTGTTTGATGACATTATCTTGTTTCTGGCTACATCTTCACAACTGCCTATAGGTGCATGGTGCAAGCAGTTGACCTGGATTTGGGATTTGCATTGCCTTGGACAAACATAACGTTATGTTTACATATCCTATTTCCGAAATTGATCTGTTTGGCTTTTATTCATTAAAATAATATACAATTTCTCATTTTTTTTAATATGCCTTGTTGAATATCTCAAACCAAGCACCGTTACAGTTTTATCATTTCTAATTCAACATATCGCCGTTCCTCTTGATTATCCGGCCATGTGGCTCAGGAAATCTTTTTACAAATCCAAAAACAGTACGCATTTAAAATCAGATTTCCGTTTTGCTCATCATATTAGTTTATGATATCAAGAAACAATCCCCACAGATACTTGTGTCTAGCCAAATGCGCAATGGAAAAAAAAGGCTGTTTCAGAAACACTGCCGAGCCTTTAAAGCTGGGCTTTTGCTCAAATTACTTTATGTGACTATAATAATTAATTACTGGAAAGTAGGCTTTAGTTTGTTAATTAAGCGGATTTAGCTGATTTTCACAAATATTTTACTTGCTTGGTTTAGCAGTGTTTTTGTCATTCCGGGTCACATTGCAATCATTTGTCGTGATTCGATTCAATACACCGATTTTGGAGCTCATCTGTACAGATTTGGCACGCTGATTACCCCTAAAAATGCATTATAACTTGTGTGGTGCTGAGATAAACTCAAAAATCACGACTAGAATATGCAGACAGAGAAAGATATATTCAATGACAACGCGATGACATCGATTACGATTCTATCTGGACCCGAGTAACTGTTTGATCCGTTATCCCTTCAATGTAATCTGGAAAATTCACTTATTTGAAATAACTCAAGAATGGGAAATGACCCAGCATCTTAGACCGCATCTCCGCAACCATTTTCTACTTTGCCCTTGCACTCTCTTCGTTGATAAACAACATATTTCCCTGGCGGACTAAACTTTTTCAAGTTCAAAAGGGCTAAGAGAGAGGCTTGAAGAAATCCACGTCTTACCAAAGAAAAGACCCAAATTGAAAGTTACTCCATTCATAAAGTTGTCATTGGTTCTATTAAAACCAAAGCCTATATATCTCCGCGTTTATAATACTGCAGAGGCAGTTTTAGGTTCTCAAATAGAATGAGAGCTGGTTCGTGCCTTCCGAAATTGAATAGATAGCTTTTTAAAATTCTTTTTCTGCTTGGCTTTCCATAAATACTGAATGCTCCAATTGCAACAAGATTTTCCATTAATGACAATCATTCACTCCATAATTATCCTATATATTTCTCGTTCTCTTTCCACCAATCCCTAAAGACACAACTCAACTAAAGACACCACAACGGACATCTTGATTTTCTCGCCCTTTTGCCTCTAGGCAAAATAAATCACTGTTGTTTGTTGCCCTGCCAAATTTTGGCAGCTTTCTTTCTCCAAATTTGTAACTTATTTGGCGAATGAAATATCTCAAAAGCAAATACCCTAATCCCATAAATAGGTCTTTTTTGGTAAACCAGGTAATGTGTGTTGACGAAGTGTCTTTCTGTCCTAATGTAATAGTAGTGATTAGTCAAAACCATGGATCCAATTAAGAGAATTTCAAATCACCAAGACATCCTGAGAGCATTTAATTAATGCTTCTCAATTTGGGGGGGAGGGGTGGATTGCATTCGAACCCCATAATTGTTGGAGTTATCCGCCATTTCACCACTCTGTAGGTTTAAGTTCTGAATAAACAAAAAGTTCGGGAAATCGATCTCTTAAACATTAATCCATGGGTCTATAGACATACAACTTTCTCGTGAAAGAGTCGCAGAAAGCTTGTCATCGGTCTATTTGCCTTGAATAAGATCAAATAATATTTCTCGTGTGGCATATTCATAACAGCAAAGGTTTTCACGTACTGCCCAGAACGGCCATTGACTTTAGTAATATTATGCAGCTTTAACTATCCTCAAAGTTTAGTAGGCAACCAATGATCATTTTTAATCGGCAACCATAAAACAATATTTGGTACAACCACCAGACCCTAAACGAAGAGCTTGTTATAATGAGAATATATGAGAGCTAGATTATAAGATGATATGTGAAAGATTATGATAACGTGAATTCAGCAAAACCAAAGCTATATATGCGAGCTATCTTTTATGGTGGGTAAAACTTTCTTGATCAAGCAATACTGCATAGCATGAAATTAACTCCAAAATACTAAACGAATTTTTCAGATTTCCGAATTTAGGAATCGACACTTCATCATCCTGCCTTCGTATATCTAGCCTGGGGAAATGTTACCCGACCAATTTATGCACTAAGGAAATTTGCTGGAATTGCTAATGAAATCAATGACCTTATTAAGGAAAGCTTTCCTTTCTGTACACTTATCAATAAACTTTTAAGTCATTTAGTCCTGAATAAACATTTTCTTAATTTGTGGGTGGACAAAGATACAGTAGCTGTTGAGCGGCAAGAGAAAAACAAGTTTTCCATAACAGATGGTAATAGTCGTTATATTCATTGTCAGATCTAGGATTGAGTCTTTAGGTTTTGTTCATGAATAACAATTAGCCATAAAACAAGCGGTATTTCAACCTACACATTAAATTCGAACATCATGCCGCACACCCTGCCAATTCACGAAATTCTTCGTTGATAAGACAAATGATTTTTAAAACCACCAATTGTATTAGCAGAGCAAAGAAACATGCATTAGATACCAAGCAAAGCGACATGTTGATTGTACCAACATGGAAGGCGTGACAATGTTTTTCCTAGCAGAGGTATATTTCTTTACAATTATGCGGGTGATATTGGAAAGTCTGACCGATTACGAGACGAATTTGCTCCAAAATTCTTCACTGCAAAAATTTGGAACTCATCATAAACAAAATTATTCTTTTTGGGAAACAGAGCGCCTTGTCCGATTTCATGAAATCACGCGCATGTATAAGCACGGAAACATTTTTGGCATTTTCAAGAGCAGCTCATTCAATAAGTCAAGTTTTGTTGGGGAAGGAAGTCCTGAAAAAAGAGAAAAATCTTAATGATTGGGCTCCATTTTTATTATTGTTTTTAGGCCAAGTTTTTATGCGAGCTATTCTGATGAAATAAACTTGTCTTTTAATCTAACTAGTGCTTCTCATATCCCACCGTCTTTCCTCCCTAGCAACCCTCACATATGCCTAAAAAAGAAGTGCATCAATCATACCAATACCTATAAATATTAACATGCTTGTTTTTATTAAATTTCTTTCTTTTTCCATAGGTACAGTGTCAGCTGATATAGACACAACAGATACCGTAGTTTTGAATTATCGTCAGTATGTGCCTATAAAACGGAGGCTATCAGTTGCCTCGTTATCGATCCGAATTATCTAGCAAGCACAAGCCGGACAACCCAACGCACCGTTTGGTATCGCCGTCCTATTGCAGGGACGCTTCAATAATCTGAACGGAGGGAACCCATAATCGGCCAGTTTGGCTATGGAATTACTTGAGACAGCTAACAAACCAAGGCTATCTGCCGCAAAGGCCAAAAAAAAAACCGCCTTCCAGTTCTCCCCGTACAAGACAGGGTTTCCATTGGGTGCCCAGATACCCGGCTATTCCCCAAACCATTCACCTTTGCCGTTGTCAAGCGCAAGCTTGTAATGGTTACGGAGGTACCAGGTCGACCGTTGGGGACAGTGGAGCAGTTTGGTCCCAGTGTCTCGTAGCTGCAACGGTGGAGTCCAGAAAGGACAA